TACTTGTCTGTTATTATCATTCATTTATCCTCAGTCTCTCCCCTAATCTAATACATATCTTCTGGATACATTCACACCTGCCGTTCTATTCATTTGACCGCTTTAAGCAATCTTTCCTGGCGACCCCCAGCTGCAGGCCCCTCCCGGAGCAGCTGCTCCCACGCAGAGGTGAGCTCCCCTTCCCTGTTGCCCCTGTGCCTGCCCTGCGTTTGGGGGACTCTCTGGTTTCTGTCCAGTGCCTTCCACTTTCTCGATTTACTCCGTCATCCTGGTGAACGCCCTTCATCCCTCATCCCAGGGCAGGATAGAGCCGATTACTGCGCTCGGAGAGTCACGAACCAAGGCAAAGACGTGAAAGATGACGTTTCCACCTCTCCCCCATGCTCTCCTGGTCGAGACATTTTTTTTTCTCCTGATGTGCTGAAAAGACAGCCTAATGCTTATTTTCCTGGGCTCTCAACCCCTCAAGGGCAGCCTTCAGCCCACCAGGTCGTCCTGGGGGCCAGTGCTGTGCCCAGTGGATTACGGCACCGCTTGCCACATCAGCAGCCTGCATCAGAGTGCTGGCTTGAGCCCCAGCTGCTCTGCTTTCTACCCAGCCTCCCGCCAATGTGTTGGGGAAGGCCATGGAAGATGGCCCAAGTCCCCTGGTCCCTGCCACCCACGTGGGAGGACCAGGATGGCGCACCTGGATTTGGGGATGGAAGTTCTCTCTATCTCTGTTTCTCCCTCTCTGTCACTCTGCCTTTCACATAAATAAATCATTGTTTAAGAGAACTAGCGTGGCACTGTCCACCTTGTCACCCTGCATTTGCACCTGCACTTCTTCAGGCACTTTTCCAAGTTCCCCAACAATGAACTAACATCACTACCCCAACCACGCACATCATGTTAATGATAAATCATTGCTATCGCTAGAGGTTGACGTGTGTCAGACACTGTAATTGCTAATCAGTTCACACGGCATCTGGGTTAATCCTCAAAATCAAGCCAGCTATAAAGGCGAAGGTGGTTGCCTTGCCAAGGGCGTATGGCCAGCAGTGGGGTTCAAATGCAGTTCTGTCTCGTTCCAGAAAAATCTTGCCTGAGCCATTCTGCTAAGTCATCTTGGTCAGAAAATAAACGACAGGGGGGCTGGCATTATGCACAGTGGGTTAAGCCACCACCTGTGACACCGGCATCCCATACGAGCACCAGTTCAAGACCCAGCTGCTCTGCTTCCCATCCAGCTCCCTGCTAATGCACCCAGGGAAGCAGCAGAAGATGGCTCAAGTGCTTGGGCCCCTGCACCCACATGGGAGACCCAAATGGGGATCCTGGCTCCTGGCTTTGGCCTTTTGCAGTCCCTGCCATTGCGGCCATCTGGGGAGTAAACCAGCAGATGGAAGATCTCTTTCTCTCTCTCTGTTGTTGTGCCTTTCAAACAAAGAAATATTTTTTTTGGACAGGCAGAGTGGATAGTGAGAGAGAGAGACAGAGAGAAAGGTCTTCCTTTGCCGTTGGTTTACCCCTCAATGGCCGCCGCGGCCGGCACGCTTTGGCCGGCACACCGCGCTGATCCAAAGCCAGGAGCCAGGTGCTTCTCTTGGTCTCCCATGCGGGTGCAGGGCCCAAGCACTTGGGCCATCCTCCACTGCACTCCTGGGCCACAGCAGAGAGCTGGACTGGAAGAGGAGCAACCGGGACAGAATCTGGTGCCCTGACCGGGACTAGAACCCGGCGCGCTGGCGCTGCAGGTGGAGGATTAGCCTATTGAGCCACGGCACTGGCCACAAAGAAATATTTTTAAAAATAATAATATACAACAGGTCATTCAGTGGTTCTTTAAAAATATTTATTTATTTATTTGAAAGAGTTATATATAGAAAAGGAGAGATAGAAAGACAGAGATCATGGGGCCGGTGCTGTGGCACAGTGGGTTAAAGCCCTGGCCTGAAGCACTGGCATCCTGTATGGGCGCTGGTTTGAGTCCCAGCTGCTCCTCTTCTGATCCAGCTCTCTGCTATGGCCTGGGAAAGCAGTGGAGGATGGCCCAGGTCCTTGGGCCCCTGTACCCGCGTGGAAGACCCGGAAGAGGATCCTGGCTCCTGGCTTCAGATCATCGCAGCTCCGGCATCTGGTGGGTGAACAAGTGGATGGAGGACCTCTCTCTCTGTCTCTACCTCTCTCTGTGTAACTCTGTCTTTCAAATGAATAAAATAAATGTTTAAAAAAGAGAGAGAGATCTTCCATCTGCTGCTTCACTTCTCAAATGGCTGCAATGGCCAGGGCTGGGCCAGGCTGAAGCCAGGAGCCAGGAGCTTCATCCAGGTCTCTCACACGGGTACAGAGGCCCAAGCACTTGGCCATCCTCTGCTTCTTTCCCAGGAGCAGTAGTGAGGAGCTGGATGGGAAGTGGAGCAGCCGGGACTGAACAGGTGCCCATAGGAGATACTATTGTCACAGGAGGTGGCTTACCCTGCTGTACCACACCGTTCTTACTTAACCACAGTCTCTGGCTACTTCAAAAATTCACAGACAATACATATTATGAAAAAACAACTGTTATGGTTTTCAAAAATTTTGCACCAAAATAAACACGCTTTAATTTCCTTTTCCCATCAACTTTTTGAAGACCTCTCACACACCAAAAGGTGGACAACGATTCTCTCTGGGCTTTGGAGTAATGCACACATTTTTCTTCTTGATAGCTTCCTTATTTTTCTCATTACACTAATTTCATTGTCAGAAACATACAAGATGAACTTCTGAGTTACAGCAACTCTGCAGCTGTAAATATAGAGCGCAAACCACGGATTCCACAGCTGTAGCACAGCGCTGAGACTCCCCGTCTCAACTGCTATTTTGTCCACCTGGAACAGGCTGCACGTTCCTCAGGGCAGGAGAACCGCCCGTCACAGCACCGATTAACCCAGCAGGCTCTGGATGATAAACTCTGATGGTGCAGCTGCACCGACCCTCTGCCTACTCGCCTGTATTCTCTCTGCACAGCTGTCAGGCCTGCCTGTGTCCTGCTAGACCTGTGACAACTTCTCGCCCCACCCAGACGTGCAGAAGTGGGTTCACTGTAGTGCTGGGCTCACCATCGGTCCCTGCACGTCCCCGTTCCGTGGAGGGTAGAGAGGGAAGGGGCGGTCTCCACGGAAAGTGGAGGGGGAGGTGGTGACAGGAGGCAGGGAAGGGGGTGTGGCCGAGTCTGCTGCCCACTCCCATCATCCCCTGACGTCACCTGGGCCCCCCACCTTGGCCACAGGCAGAACCATTAGCATCTTCTCTCCATCTCTTCCAAGTCAGCCCTGTCCCCCACCGCTGGATCCCAAGTCCACCTTTGTCCATGCAGAAGAGGTCAACCAGCCTCAGTTGTTATCCCCTATCCACTGCCCCTTGTTACCCTACCCACTGTTTATCCACCCAAGTCTCCAAGAAGAACCAAAGGCTTGGGCCTCAAATCTCCTTGACTTCCGGCCTCAGTTCATGCCGCTTGCTCACACACATCAGGCGGTCACTCCAGGTTAAACGTGGCTCCTCCCTAGCACTAGATTCACCTACAGTGACTTTGAAAAATGTCACCGTGTTTCAAGATTTGGCACTGTGGCACAGCAGATAAAGCCACGGCCTCTGATGAATCCCATACAGGCCTTGGCTCGAGTCCGGCTGCTCCACTTCCCATCCAGCTCTCTGCTATGGTCTGGGAAAGCAGTGGAGGGTGGCCCAGGTCCTTGGGCTCCTGCACCCATGGGGGAGACCCAAACAAAACCCCTGGCTCCTGACTTCAGTGTGGCCGAGCCCCAGCCATTGCAGCCATTTGGGGAAGTAAACCAGTGGATAGAAGGTCTCCCTCTCTCTGTCACTCCCTCTCTGTCACTCTATCTTTTTTAAAGATTTATTTTATTTATTTATTCAAAAGTCAGAGTTACACAGAGAGAGAAGAGGCAGAGAGAGAGACAGAGAGAGAGGTCTTCCATCTGCTGGTTCACTCCCCAGTTGGCTGCAATGGCCACAGCTGCACCAATCCGAACCCAGGAGCCAGGAGCTTCTCCCAGGTCTCCCAACTGTGGTGCAGGAGCCCAAGGACTTGGGCCATTCTCTACTGCTTTCCCAGGCCATAGCAGAGAGCTGGATCGGAAATGGAGCAGCCAGGACTCAAACCAGCGCCCATATGGGATACTGGCGCTTTAGGCCAGGGCGTTAACCTGCTGTGCCACAGCACCTGCCCCATAAAATAAATCTTAAGGAGAAACAGAAGGAGTCGGCATGGCTGTGGGTCAGTGGTTTAAAGGAGCACGGTGTGAATCCGCAGAGAACGGAGGTGTAGGGAGGGGCACTGCTGGGTGCACTCTGCACCCCCTTGGCCTCACCTCCACCATTGTTTCCCTGACCAGGGGCTGCCCACTGCTTGCTCAGAAGGGGCTGCCCCTCCCTCGCCATGCTCCACACCAGGCACCAGCACCAATCGAACCTCCAAAAAAGTGAAAATCTTCCTCGAGTCCCACTGCCAGCCAATAAGGCCCACCGCCACAGTCCGGCCAGCAAAGCCCTCTGCAACTGATCCGCTCCCTCTCCAACACCCCACGCTTTCCTGCCTCTGCCCTTGGCTCTGCCTGTTTCCCACTGCAACACCTCTATCCCCTCGCCCATCCTGGAATAGCCACTTCTCCAGGAAGTCTCTCAGCTCACCGAAGCCCAAGATTTGGCTTCAAAAAACTCATCCCACCGTCCACCCACGCCATGCCTCCACCTGCCCATTTTGCCCTTTGTTTTGAGTATCTATTGTGAGCTGGGCATGGTGCTAGATTCTGGGGCAGCAGAAAGAAATGCCACATTTCCCACCCTGCAGGGAGCTACACTGTAATAGAGTAAATAATAGCTACCGTTCAGTTTGCAGTACTACATACTGGGTGTAGCACAAAGCAAGTAAACACATTGTCACAAACGATCTTCACAATAACACAAATATATAGGTAGTCTATATTACAGGTATTATAATCCTGATTTTATTGATGTTAAAATAGGGGCTTGCCAGGGTCAGGTTATCCGTGCAGGGTCACTCAGGTGGTAATTAGCAGAGGCAGGATAGGCATCTATAAAACTCGCCCCAGTGTCCAGACTCCTTGGGGACACTCTTGCTCTCATCACACTACCCATCTCTCTCTCTCTCTCTCTCTCCCTCTGTTTCTCTCCCCTTCTCTTTCTCTCCCTCCCTCCTCTCCCCTTCTTTCTTTCCCTTTCTTCTCCTCTTCTCTCTTCCTCTGAGTTCATTTGACAATTGATCATGTACTAAATGTTTTCTCTTTGCATTTTCTTAACTTGTTAATTTCCTGTGTGCTTCCATTTGCCCAGTTCAGTTTGCAAATGCCATAAGACAGAGAGAGCTGGGAAAAGATGCAGCCAAGATCATCCTGCCTTGCACAGGGTAGGATCCATGTATTCGTCCCAGTTGCAACAGCTTTGTCATATCAACACCTCAACATTTTACAGAGCTAGGGGGAGGTCATGTTTGAGTTAAACATACATCACTAACACTCTCAAACAATGACCTTCAAAAATGATTAACCTGCACCTTAGCAAAGCCATGCTTCTGACAGCAAGTGCTGGAGGAAATACTGATTATATAATAATACTATAAAAACATTTTGCGATTTAACAGCACCTTTTCGCTACAGGAAATGCTATGCACCAGAGTGCTTAACACGGAATGGCCAATTCACCAGAGATGAGAGCTGATGCAGAGAAACAGGCTTGTTCAAGAAGGCAGCAACCAGGCTGGCGCCGCCGTGGCTCACTTCGTTAATCCTCTACATGCGGCGCTGGCATCCATATGGGCGCCGGGTTCTAGTCCCGGTTGCCCCTCTTCCTGTCCAGCTCTCTGCTGTGGCCCGGGAGTGCAGTGGAGGATGGCCCAAGTGCTTGGGCCCTGCACCCGCATGGGAGACCAGGAGAAGCACCTGGCTCCTGGCTTCCGTGGCGGCCATTAGGGAAGTGAACCATCAGAGGGAAGACCTTTTTCTCTGTCTCTCTCTCTCACTGTTTAACTCTGCCTGTCAAAAAAAAAAAAAAAAAAAGGCAGCAACCTTGAGGGGGAAATAGCCATCTTTAGTCTCAAAAGTGTTTCCCGCTCTCCCTTGCTACTTAGCATTTTTAAAGCATAAGTGAGGAGGGGGGAAGTGAGGGAAGAGAATGAACTAGGATGCTTGCCTAGCACGTTTCCCGGGTCAACGGGTGGTCCCTCTGATCTAAGGCTCGACTGTTGGCAGCTGGTGGTCGCAGCTCCTGGTCAGGTCTTGTAACTCCAGCCACTTCCCTGCGGTCAGCCCCTGGAATTCTTCAGCAAGCCTGATTTGTCCACTGAGATGTAGTTTTGATGAGTCACAGATCAGCAATTGTTTATCAGAACCTGAAAAGGGGAAGGAAGGTGTATTCGTTACGGTTACATTTAAACACATTGTCTTAATCACAATCGCACACTTGCATGATTGTGAAAAACAGTCTGTGCAGACGTGAAATGTTATTTATGCAGTCAATGGACAGCGCTTTCAAACCCAGGCCCGAAACACTTTATCTCCTGGGGACCCACAGCCCGGAGACTGGAAACCATGATCGAAGATAGCTGACCCTGAGCTGAGCGTGGACAGGGTGATGTCACCTTAAAGGGGCAGGTCCACAATTCTTTGGAAAGAAACCTTAATTTACAGCAGAGGTGGGACATGCATCTGTCCACAAGGGGAGGGCTTCGGCTCCCTGGTTTTGCAATGCAGTTCTACAGAGGTGCACGGGATTGACGAGCGCTCGTGGGGTCAGTGGACAAAGGTGAACACAGTGCAGCGAGGACGGCGTCAGCCCCTCGTCCCTCCTCACCATCCAAGTCTCCTTGAATTCTGAGCTCACAGATCTGACTTGAAGCTGGGTACTTGCCAACTGTCGGCTGATAACGGAGAGCTTGCCACGGGAAAAGGAAACTTTTCTCCCCCTGGGCCCTACGTTGAACTTTCTGTCACTCGTTGTTGTTGCTTTTGTTTTTGCCAAAAGAAAGGCTATATTATCTGCTGAGAGAATGTTTTCTGAATGAGCCTGGAAAAACTCATTTAAAGCTGAAAATGCAGGAATTATTGCCCAACACAAGACGGATACTCAGTATTTTCCTCATATATACATACACACACACACCTAGTATTTCCTTAAAGACGCCCAAGATCCTCGGGGCCGTTGCTGTGAGGCGGCAGGCAAGGCTACCTCCTGTGATGCTGGCATCCCATATGGGCACCAGTTCATGTCCCGGCTGCCCCACTTCCGATCCAGCTCTCTGCTACGGCCTGGGAAAGCAGTGGAAGACGGCTCAAGGCCTTGGGTCCTGCGCCTGCGTCCAGAAGAAGCTCCTGGCTCCTGGTTTCAGATTGGCGGCCATTGTGGCTATTTGTAGAGTGAACCAGTGGACGAAAGACCTCTCTCTCTGTCTACCTCTCTGTAACTCTGCCTTTCAAATAAATAAAAATAAATCTTTTAAGAAAATAGATACATTCAAAAACCAAATAATGCTAATGAATGGTGTTAGAATTAACATAGTAGTTGCCCTGGATGGGGAGTGACTAGGAGGGGCCAAAGAGGGGCTTCTGGGGCAGTAGCCATGTTTTGTTTCTTGACCCGGGGTGTGTCCATGGATGTGGAAGTTCATGCAGCTGTACACTTAAGATTTTTACTATTTCTGGCTGTATATCGCATCTCAATAAAAAATATAACCTACAAGGTGTGCTGGCACTGTGGTGCACCAGGTTAAGCCATTGCTGTGGCACCAGTAAGAACCTGAAAACAAGTACCAGTTCAAGTCCTAGCTGCCCTGCTTCCAATCCAGCTTCCTGCTAGTGCACCTGGAAAGGCATGTGGGGAACCAGGATGTTCTAGGTTCCTGTCTCAGCCTGGCCCAGACCTGTGGGAAGTGAACCTTTGGTGAAATATCTCCCTCTTCCTCCCTCTCCCTCTCTCTCTCTCTCTCTCTACCTCCCCTCATTGCTCTGCCTTTCAAATAAGTAAATATTTTTAAAATAAATATTTTTAAAATGCCTACATAGAAATCTCAAGGCTATTTCACCGGCGATCAAACTTACAGAAAAGCACAAACAACCTCAAAACCTACATACATTTTCTTTCAAGAGTGTGGCTGGTGGATGGAACACTAGCAATGGAGAGAAACAGTGCCTGATCATGAGTCAGGCGTTCGGAGCGTCCCGCAGAGGTGAGAAATCAGTGCTCCATAATTAAGGGAAATACGGGCTCCACTTGCCATGGAGCCAGAATTGACGGGTCAGAGAAAAGTCCGGGCTCCCTGCAGGTCATGCGGCCACCTGGCCTGTACTTTCCTAATTGTTTTCTTCTCTGGGATTACTAAAGACCTTATTAACCGGCTGGGAAACAATGAATTCCCATTAGCGGTCATTAGCCAAGGTCATGGGTCACCTAATGAGGACGGCCCAGTGAGTAGCTGCTGTTGCCCACAATGCTGCCTGCTCACCAGGCTGACCAGGTCCATGATAGGTGCAGCTGCGTCACAACCGTATCCTCCCTCAGGAGGCAGGTCCCTTCCCCACCACCTTGTATTTCACACGAGAAAAAGGCAAACGCAGCCCAGGACCTGGGGGTGCCACAGCCTTACCCAGGTGGACTTCCGACGTGACTCCTGCTCGCTCAGCCAGCATCTCACCCAGGGGTCCCTCCCACCCCTGACATGTGTGGCAAGTCAGTGAGTGCTGCTAGCTCCCAAGGCCTTCACCATCCCCATCCATCCCTCTTCCTGGTTTTCCCCAACCTCAATAATGGGGAGAAGTGGCCACCACTCTCTATATGGGTTGGAAATGCTTATAAAAGGTTTTTATTTCTGGGGCAGCCATTGTGGTACAGTGCACTGAGCTGCTGCCCACAATGCGGGTACCCCATCAAAGGACCAGTTCGGGGCCGGTGCCGTGGCTCACTTGGTTAATCCTCCGCCTGCGGCACTAGCATCCCATATGGGCACCGGGTTCTAGTCCAGGTTGCCCCTCTTCCAGTCCAGCTCTCTGCTGTGGCCTGGGAGGTCAGTGGAGGATGGCCCAAGTGCTTGGGCCCTGCACCCGCATGGGAGACCAGGAAGAAGCACCTGGCTCCTGGCTTCAGAGCGGCGCAGCACTGGCTGTGGTGGCCATCTGTGGAGTGAACCAACGGAAGGAAGACCTTTCTCTCTGTCTCTCTCTCTCTCTCTCTCTCACTGTCTATAACTCTACCTGTCAAAAAAAAAAAAAAAAAAAAGAATTCTACTAAAAGCCAACAAAGGAACAAAGTGAAAGCTTATACTGAAAAGTACATACCCAGCTCATGACCTCACTTTTTTTTTTTTTTATAAAACAGTTTTTGGTGTTTTTTTTTATAAAACAGTTTTTTTTTTTTTAGAAAGATTTTATTTATTTGAGAGGTAGAGTTACAGATAGTGAGAGAGATGGAGAGAAAGGTCTTCCATCCGCTGATTCACTCCCCAAATGGCTGCAATGGCTGGAGCTGCGCCGATCTGAAGCCAGGAGCCAGGAACTTCCTCCAGGTCTCCCACATGGGTGCAGGGGCCCAAGCACTTGGGCCATCTTCTACTGATTTCCCAGGCCACAGCAGAGAGCTGGATCAGAAGAGGAGCAGCCAGGACTTGAACCAGAGCCCATATGGGATGCTGGCGCCACAAGCAGAGGCTTAACCTACTGCACTACAGCGCCGACCCCAACCTTACTTCTTTAAAAAGTATTTACATGGGGCTGGTAGTGTGGTGCAGCCCGTTAAGCTGCCACAGGAGACATGTACATCCCATATTTTGCATTGGCAGTTTTCAATACCTTGTGACCAGCAGTATCATTGAATGGCAATTTGAAGCCATAAGCACACATTTAATGTGTGATACAACATCTTATAACGCTTCACTTTATGCCCTTGTTGGCTTTTAGCCGGATTATTTCTGAGACTGCTCCCTCATCTGGACTCCCCGTGACAGAATTGGGGGTCCTCCATGACACCTTTGGGGTGCTCTGGTTTTTCATTGTAAGTTCTTGAAAGTGCTTTGAAAGATTCGACAATTTTGAGCCTGTCACGTATATGACACTAAATCTTAAATTAATAGAGACCTTCTTTTATTTTTTTAATTTGTATTTATTTCTTTTCATTTTATGTGAAAGGCAGAAAGCTAGAGAGACAGACCGAGATCTTCTATCCTCAAGTTCATTCTCTAAATGCTGCATCAGCCAGCGCTGAGCCAGGTCAAAGGCAGAGCCCAGAGCTCCAGCCACTCGGGCCATCACTGCTGTCTCCCGGAGTACACATTAGCAGGAATCTGTATCCGAAGTGGAGGAGCCAGGACTTGAACCAGGGACTCCCAATATGGTGTGTGGGCATCCCAGGTGGTGTCTTAAACACACCGCCCCTGAGACCTCTTTTTAAAAGATAATTTGTCTCCAAATGTTAAGCTGGAAAGTCAATGGGATCACTGTTTGAAAAACAATTACAGTCCTGCGCCGCGGCTCACTAGGCTAATCCTCTGCCTGCGGCACCGGCACCCCAGGGTTCTAGTCCTGGTTGGGGCGCTGGATTCTGTCCCGGTTGCCCCTCTTCCAGTCCAGCTCTCTGCTGTGGCCCGGGAAGGCAGTGGAGGATGGCCCAAGTGCTTGGGCCCTGCACCTGCATGGGAGACCAGGAGGAAGCACCTGGCTCCTGGCTTCAGATCAGCGCAGCGCCGGCCGTGGCAGCCATTTGGGGAGTGAACCAATGGAAGGAAGACCTTTCTCTGTGTGTGTGTGTCTCTCTCTCACTGTCTAACTCTGCCTGTCCAAAAAAAAAAAAGATATTCATTCTCTCTCTCTCTCTCTCTCTCCTTTCAAATAAATAAATAAATCATTAAAAAAACGAATCTCCCCCAGATGATTTCAATGTGCAGCCAGTTCCATGGGAATTGGTGCTCGGTGGCACTGGCTCTCAGCCCTGAGTGCACAGTGCACACTGGCCTCCCTTGGGGACCTCCAAAAGCTGCACACCTGTGTCCCACCCTGCATGCAGGAGCCCATCTCTGGACACAGGATCACCTGGCCCAGCCCCATCTCTGGACACAGGATCACCTGGCCCGGTGCACAGCCTGGGTACCAGCCTTTGCCAAAGCTTCCCAGGTGATGCTACAGTGTCACCAGGAATGAGAGCCACCGATCATGGGCTCCCAGGCCGCTCATCTCACACTTAAAACCATCACCACTGTTAAAATTCCAGTGCTGGCAGCATCCAGTAACTGCTTAGAAAAGCTGCCCAATGAAGGTCCATGAGAATAGACAGGCGAGAAGGAAAGGACAAGCTTAAGAAACAAGGAGCAGTTAACATGACAGCATCCAGAGCGTAGATTCCGTAGCCAGCTGAGCCAATGCTATGACGACAGGGAGCACGCTTTACAAACACACAGGTGGCCCTCTTGGGTGTGGAGCCACCGTCCCAGGCCCAGGCTGTCCTCATCCCCCTGGGTGTGGTGCTGGTGGGAAGGGAAATCTACCCACCGTCACGGGCAGAGTCCTTCCGTACTGAGTTGAAACAATCTCAGCACAAGATCTCTGCAGCACAAGACAACGCTGGGCCCATACGCGAGGGGACCTCCGAAAGTTCCTGCAAAGTGGAACCAAAAGAAAGCTTATTTTGGTGAAAAAAAAATGGAAATCTCTATGTGTTTTTTTCCCCATAATATCATTTTCCAGAAGCTTCCTGAAGACCCCTCGTACAATGAAGGATGTGACCCTCAGAGGGGAACGCAGCCCAGAGAATGAGCTGAGAAGGGTGGGAAAATGATTTCCCCTTTATTTAACAAGAATGCTTTTTCTAAGACTTATTTATTTGTCTATTTGAAAGGCAAAATGAGGAGGAGGTGGGGCAGTGTGGCGGGGGGAGCCAGTGAGAGACACAGAGAGAGAGAGAGAGATCTTCCATCTGCAGGTTTGCTCCCTAAATGGCCACAGCAGCCAGGGTTGGACCAGGCTGAAACCAGGAGCCTGGAACTCCATCCAGGCCTCCCCGATGGGTTGCAGGGGCCCAAGCAGTTGGGCCATCATCCACTGCTTTCCCCAGGTGCACTAGCAGGAAGCTGAATTGGAGGCAGAGCCAGGACTTGAACTGGCACTTCAGTGTCAAGAGTGGTGGGTTAACCCACTGCACCACATGGGCCCCCAACAAGAATTTTAGGTGACAAACTAGAAGAGCAAAATGCCTACCATGCATAATCTCACATTTGTAATAAACGGGACAAGGAAGAAATTTGCCAAAATGTGAAAATGGGGCCCATCTTTGGATCATAGGTTTGTGATGATTTTTACTTTCTGCTTTATACTTTTTCCTATTTTCCAAATTCTCTACCTAGTGCAGGAATCACTTTTTAGTAAGGAATAAAATAAATTTACCAAAATCTTCCTTGTGCTCCAGGCTGTGGACCGACTGTCGGAGGCGGTGCTAAATCTGCTGGCACAGGGTGAGAAGGAGCAGGTTTCCGTGGTCTGAGAGCTCAGCAGGTCCATTTGTGCTTCCGTAAGCAGGTGGAGACTTTGCAAGCCTGGTGTGGAGTTTGCCAGAATCAGCAAAGCTGGTATCATATGGGCGACCCGTGAAGACGAAGTTCCCAACAACTTCTGTCCGTCCACCTGCTGCCAACTGACATCTTAGCAATGAATGGAACACTCCACGTTGATTGCCGCTGTAGACTGATCATGTGAAGCCCATGAGAAAACACGAGGAGAAAATACTCACTCACTTTTCCTTATTTGTGTCTGTTTGAAAGGCAAAGAGACAGTGAGAGATCGCCCATCCATTGGTTCACTGCTCAAATGGCCACAGCCACCAGGCTGGAGCCAGGAGCCAGGAACTCAGTCCAGGTCTCCCACACCGGTGGCAGGGACCCAGCCACGCAAGTCATCACTTGCTGCCTCTCAGGGTCTGGAATCAGGAGCAGAGCCAGGACTCGAACCCAGGCACTCCTACACGGGACGTGGGACTCACAAGCAGAGGCTGGTGCAGGTGTCCCAAGAAGAGTTTAACAGCTACAGCGAACACCTGCCCAGAGAAAATACTTAGAAAGATTCACGTCATAAGCCCCTAGCTACTGACACTTGATGAAGATTGCTCTCAACATTTGTCAATCTGTTTGGCTTTGAAGTCAGAGGCACACAGTATATGGATGAGCCTTTTAGGGAAATTCTAGCTGAGTTTATTATGTGCTCAGCTTACCCTGAGAAGCCCAATGAGTAAAATGGGCCACTGAATTCTCCCAAATAAAGCCCAGATCCAGTAGCAAGGTCCTCCTATCTGTAGCAACCAGGCACTCTTTCCTCTGAAACTTTCAGGTTTTTGTAACCCTTTTTTAAAAATTTATTTATTTATTTATTTTAAAAGCAAAGGGACAGCCAGTGAGAGACACAGAGAAAGAGAGAGAGAGAGAGAGAGAGAGAGAGAGAGAGAGAGAGATCTTCCATCTACTGGTTCACTCCCCAAATGGTTGCAACAGCCAGGGTTTGGCCAGGCTGAAGCCAGGAGCCAGGAACTCCATCCAGGTCTCCTACATGGCTAGCAGGGGCCCAAGGACTTGGCCCATCTTCTGCTGATTTCCCAGGCACATTAGCAGGGAGCTGGAAGTGAAACAGAGCAGCCCGGACCCAAGCTACACACCAATTGGGATGCCAGCTTCACAAGTGAGGGCTTAACCTTCTGTGTTACAACACCACTCCTGAAGACTACTTAAAAATCCCGATGCTGAGGGGCTGGGGTTGTGGTGTAGAGGGTTAAGCCACCACCTGCAACGCCAGCATCACATACAGGCACCGGTTCGAGTCCCAGTTGCTCTGCTTCCGATCTAGCTCCCAGCTAACATGCCTGGGAAAGCAGCAGAGGATGGTCTGAGTCCTTGGGCCCCTGCCACCAGCAAGGGAGACCCAGATGGAGCTCCTGGCTCCTGGGCCCTGGCTTCAGCCTGGCCCAGCCCCAGCTATTGTAGTCATCTGGGGAGGGAACCAGAGGATGGAAGGTCTCTCCCTCTCTCTCTGGAACTCTGCCTTTCAAATAAATGAATAAACTTTAAAAAAAAAAAAAAAACCTGATGCTCAATCTCCTTTTCCTACTAATTCTTCCTGCATCTTTCCTCCTCGTCTTCACACGGAAATTCTTTCCTCACTACCTGCCTGAAACAAACTTTCCCTTAAAGCCCTCCACCCGGACACCAACACCCCTTCACTACTGTCCAACACGCATCCCATTTCACTGCCATCAGAAATCCCCTCATCAGGAAGCTTTGTGCTCTCCTTAATTAAAGCCATCTATTGCAAACTGCACCACAAACAATTTGAGTGGAGGAGTCTCTGCACCCATCCTTGCATTCCTCCCTAAGCACATAGCCGTAGTCGGCTGTCGCACGTCTGTTCAATGAGTAGATTTCCAGTAGAACAATCTCATCACGACGTCACAAGTGTGTTTACACAGGGCCATTCTCAAAGCACATAAGCTAGCAGCTGCAAATGGGATCCTGCAAACTGCTCTCTATCTCCAGGGAAATGCAGAATCTTAGCCTCTCACCCCTTCCCCTACACTCCCCTAGTGAGTCAGAAGCTGAGTTACAATCAAATCTCAGGCAACGCCTGTGACGTTCAAGTCTGAGGAGCGTGGGTCTACACTAGAGTGCTGGCTTCCAGCCCTGGCTGTGCATTGGAATTCCACAGGCAATTCAAAACATACAGATGCTAGGGCCACCGTATACGTGGGTCCTAGGCCACGGGGTTCTCCCATGTGCCCCAGTGTGTTGTCACCGACGTTCTGAGCATCTTTCCTCTGTCCCAGGCAACCCTCTCAGCTGGACATGCATCTCATCTTCCGTAAGAATGCAACTCAGGAGGTATTTCACCGAGCACCTAGCATTTGTGTAAAATATAAAACCTCTCCTTAGACTCCCTTTCACAGTGAAGTACCTTTTCTTGGGTTCTTTCTTCATCAATCCCATTTTCTAACTTTGTAAGCATTCTCCGGTGTAGGTTGAATTATGGCTTGTCCTTTACAAACAGAGGAAAAGAAAATCAATTACATTTTATCCAATTTTATTAACAACCTACAGTTTATTTTAGGTCTCGGAGATACAAAGGTTGATTATATTTAAAAGTAAATATGGGGGCCAGTGCTGTGGTGTAGCAGGTAAATCCACCACCTCCAGTGCTGGCATCCCACGAGTTTGAGACCCGGCTGCTCCTCTTCCAATCCAGCTCTCTTCTATGGCCTGGGAAAGCAGTGGGAGATGGTCCAAGTCCTCGGACCCCTGTACCCATGTGGGAGACCCAGCAGAAGCTCCTGGATCCTGGCTTTGGATCGGTACAGCTCTGGCCATTGTGGCCATCTGGGGGGTGAACCAGAGGATAGAAGACCTCTCTGTCTCTCTCTCGCTCTCGCTCTGCCTCTTCTCTGTGTAATGCTGACTTTCAAATAGATAAATAAAAAATCTTAAAAAAAAAAGAAAGAAAGAAAAACAGGGAAGGAAATGTCCCAGAACTGGCCAAGGTGATTTTCTACATGATAAGTTATTTTTTTCTTAAAGATTTATTTTATTTATTTGAAAGGGGAATGAACCAATGGATGGAAGACCTCTCTCTCTCTGCCTCTCCTTCTTTCTGTGTGTAACTCTTTCAAATAAATAAAAAAATCTTTAAAAAAAAAAGCAAATATGAGGGAACTTCAAAAAGTTTACAGAAAATGCAAGTGAAAGATAAGTTCAGGGACAGACATTTGGCCTCGTGGTTGACACATGTCACATACCAGTGTGCCTAACTCCCTGCTGGTGCAGACCCTGGGACGACTTGACCCCACTGGTGCAGACCCAGTGGGACGATGGCTCAAGCAGCTGGGATCCTGATGCCCACGTGGGAGACTTGCATTGGGTTCACTGTTCCCCACAATTCTGATTTTGGCCTCAGCTTAGCACTGCTCATTTTGAGCCTTTGGGGGCACAGGTTCTCTCTCTCTCTCTCTCTCTCTCTCTCTGCTGCTGCTCAAATAGCTGTTTTTTTTTCTTTTTAATATAAGTTTATCTTGGTGCAAAAAGTTGAAATCCAAACATGGTTTTTAATACGCATTTCCATGAACTTTTGAGGACCCCAGTTTATCCTGTTCTTTTTTTCTAATACATGCTTATTTATTGATAGATTGAGTTTCCATTAATTTGAAAGCAGAAAGAATACAAGAACAAAGCCAAGAGCTGGAGATTTATTTATTTAGTTCTTTTTATGTGAAAGGCAGAGAAAGAGACACAGAGAGATCTTCTATTTGCTGGTTCACTCTGCAAATACCTGCAACAGTCAGGTATTGGTTCACCCTCCAATGGCCGCCAGGGCTGGCGCGCTGTGGCCGACACACCATGCTGATCCGAAGCCAGGAGCCAGGTGCTTCTCCTGGTCTCCCATGGGGTGCAGGGCCCAAGCACCTGGGCCATCCTCCACTGCACTCCCTGGCCACAGCAGAGAGCTGGCCTGGAAGAGGGGCAACCAGGACAGAATCCGGCGACCTGACCGGGACTAGAACCCGGTGTGCCGGCGCCGCAAGGCGGAGGATTAGCCTAGTGAGCCGCGGTGCCGGCCCCAAGCAGTGTCTTAACTGTTGCAGCAAACACCTGCCCCAGATCTCGGAGTTTAATCCAGGTTTGAAGTACTTGATTGTGGCAGGGACTCAAGCACTTGAGCCATCACTTGCTGCTGCCCAGGATGCCCCTGAACAGGACGCGGGAATCAGAAGTGGACCTGGGACTTGAACCCAGGCACCGTGATACGGGGCGCATGCGTCCCAAGCAGTGTCTTCGGCACTGCACCCCACTCCACCCCATCCTGTTCTTTAATCGTTATTAATAGTCATGCTCCACTTCATCATCCAGCTGAAAGCGCTCACACGTGCAGAGGGCTTGCAGCCCTGGGACGGCACTAAGGATTTACCTGAATTATCTCACTGAGTCCACCCAGCGACCCCGTGAGACACCTTCTGCTGTCATCCCTGCTTTTGGATGGAACAGCAGTGGCATGCAGTAGTTTGGCAGCTAGCCCAGGGCCACACAGCTGATCCACTGAAGACAGGGCCCAGACCAGCAGACTCAGAACCCACTGTGGTTCTGGTGAGGACGGTGTTCCGGGAACGCGTGGGGATGCGGTGTGGGTTCCAGGGCCCGGGGAGTCTCGCATGCTTTCATGGTTCCGCACAGGTCATTTAGGGCAGCTTTTCCAAAGCTTTTCCCACTTTAATCTGTGGCCCATAAAGGTCTTTCCCAGGGACAACCCACTGTGAAGTTTAAAAGGATTTCATGTTTGGACAAATCCCTTCTGAATGTGGAGCAAGATAGGAACACGTTCTGACTAATACAGTGCAAGTCTGAATAAAGAGGCCCCAGTGTTTTATAAAGCCATCCCTCTCTCCCCACCAAACACAGCCTGAAATGTTAACAGCTCTGTTGCAAACAGGAGATCGATAAATGTAAGCCCTGGTCGTGTGTGTGTGTATGTGTATATGTGTGTGTCTCTGTGTGTCTGTGTCTCTGTGTCTGTGTGCCTCTGTATGTCTGTGTGTGTGTCTATGTATCTATCTCTGTGTGTGTCTGTGTGACTCTGTGTGTGTGTCTCTGTGTCTGTGTGTCTGTGTGTGCCTGTGTGCCTGTGTGTCTGTGTCTGTGTGTGTCTATGTGTCTGTGTCTATGTGTCTCTGTATGTGTGTGTCCACATGTGTGTGTTTTTGTCTATGCCTGTTTGTGTCTGTGTCTCTGTGTCTCTGTGTGTGTGTCTGTGTCCCTGTGTGTGCCTGTGTGTGTGTGTGTCTTTGTGTGTATGTCAAAACAAAGGCAAGAAAGTTAAGAAATTTCAAATAGGGGGCCCACATTGCATTTCAGCTGCTCCTCTTCTGATCCAGCTCTCTGCTATGGCCTGGGAAAAACAGTAGAAGATGGCCCAAGTGCTTAGGCCCTTGCCACCTGCGTGGGAGACCCAAATGAACCTCCTGGCCTTGGCCTGGCCCAGCACTGGTCATTGTGGCCATCTGGGGAATGAACCAGTAGATGGAAGATCTCTCCCTCTGTTTCTCCTTCTCTCTCTATAACTGACTTTCAAAATAAATCTTTAACAAAAATGTCAAATAGTATACAAAAGGCAGGTGTTTTCTTTGGAGTCCTGCAATAACCATGCCATTTAAATTTTTCTTTCCCCAACAAGGGACACCTGGGAACTAGGGTCACAATTACTCTAGTCTGTTGGGACTAATGCTAATATTGACCTTGCTGCTGTCCATAGGCTTGCCCAACATGGCCCTGAAAGACTGAAACTGGTCACATTTAAAAAAAAAAAAAAGACATTGAGTCAGGGCTGGCGCTGTGGCGTAGTGGGTAACGCCACCACCTGCAGTGCCAGCATCCCATATGGGTGCCAGTTCGAGTCCCAGCTGCTCCACTTCCGATCCAGCTCTGTGCTATGGCCTGGGAAAGCAGTAGAAGGTGATCCAAGTTCTTGGACCCCTACACCCACGTGGGAAGCCTGGAAGAAGCTCCCGGCTCCTGGCTTCGGATCAGTACAGCTCTGGCCATTGCGGCCAATTGGGGAGTGAACCAGAAGATGGAAGACCTCTCTCTCTCTGCCTCTCCTTCTCTCTGTGTAACTCTGACTTTCAAGTAAAATAAATAAATCTTAAAAAAAAAAAAAAGACATTGAGTTATGTGAGTGGCACCATTTAAATTTTTCTAAGCTTGTTCGTTGGAGAGGCAGAGAGACAAACGTGAGCTTCCAGCGGCCAGCGCTGTCACAGTGAAGCTGGGTCCAGGTCTCCCATGTGGGTGGCGGGAACCCCACTGCCTGAGCCATCACCACTGCCTCCCAGGGTCTGCGTTGGCAGGAAGCTGGAGTCAAGAGCTGGAGGCTGGGATGCAGCCCAAGCTCCCTGGTGGGAGACATGGCTGTGGCACTGGGCAACTTGACCACCAGGTCCAATGGCTGTCCTGGCCTGTCGCTCCCCCTCTTCATGGAGGAACGACACAGGACCCTGCGCTGTTCTTTTGTCGGCCCTTCCCGGGTCTGCTGCTGGTTCTTCCAGGGTTGGCTGCCAATCCTTCCACCTCCGTGGAAGGGCAGCTCCCCCTAGCCACTTTCCCCACTTCCGCAGGGGAGCGGCACACCGCCGGCCGGCTCTCTCAGGGGCTGCTCAGATGTTATCCGGATGTTCCCCTTAGATGTTCCTGGTGCATGTTGTCTCTCTCCTCCTTTATAGTCCTCTTCCACCAATCCCAACTCTGCTACCCACACGCCGAGTATGCTGCTCTCCTCCAATCAGGAGCAGGTCCTGCTGTTTATTGGTTGAACTGGAGGCAGCTGCGTAGAAGCTGTTTACTCCTCTCCCAGCGCCATATTGTGGGAGAGCAGATGCATAGAATAAGTCTTAATTCCAGTAACTTAGTCTAGTCCGAGTTGCTCCCCACACCGGCCATCCCACTTTACTGGTTCTTTCCTTATCCATATCTCTGTGAGGAAATAATGCCTGTGATCACTTCTGCTTGTTCTAGAGCGGAACTTCTCAGCCTCCATGCTGTCGACACGTTAGGCCGGTAACTCTTAGTTGTGGGCGGCTGTCCTGGGGACCTGGGGTTTTCCATAGGACCCCTGGCTTCTATCTTCCAGATGCACTGTGACAACCGAAGAGTTTGGGCTGTTGTTCTCCCTGCGCTTACCTTTTGAGCCTTCATCTTCACCTTCCCAGGCCGTCTGCTGAAGGCTGTGTGCTGGCTGCTGCAAGCAGGGAGCCCAGATGTGGATCCCCAGGGTCTGACACGGATTCTGGGGGTGGGAAAACAAGACTTTGATGTATTAACGGAGAGGACCAGTTACGAATGCTCTGTGCCACCTGGGATGCCTGCATCCCGTATGACAGTCCTTGGGTTTGAGCCCTGGCTCCACCTCTGATCTTGCTTCCTGCTGATGTGCACCTTGGATGGCAGCAGACGACAGCTCAAGTAGTTAAGTTCCTGCTGCCTGCGTTGTGACCACACTGAGTTCCTGGCTCCTGGCTTTGGCCTGGTCCAGCCCAAGATGTTGAGGGCTTTTGGGAAGTGAACTAGAGAATGGATGATCTCTCTCTCACACGCACAACACACACACACACACACACTCTCTCTC